ACACCACAGACGTCTGCTCCACAGGACATACTTCCTGTCAGAACCCCTGAAGGGCACATGGAGTTGCCGTACATTGAGCTGCCTCCGTACCTCGGAACACAGCACTTGACGGCTTCTACGACTTACTGGCAGCTGTCAGACTGCATCGACACAGACATCAACAGCGATTGCCCGAGCTCACGAAGCAAGAACCATGACACCTGAATAGCTCCCTTGGCCAACCTATCTCGAGCAGTCTCGCCGCTGCGACAGCCGGACCGGCACGAAATTCCAGCCCTTTCTTGCGACCAGACACGTGCTGCCGCTGGCATATGAGGACGAAGGCGCTATCCTGTCATCTTGCTAGCTCAGTTCTCAGAGAAAGGCAAATCTGGTTGCTCGGCCAAACCAGAAGGCGGAAGACCATTTCAGGATGTTCTTCATGAAGGATGCACGCCAGAGGCAAGAGATGATCCGCAAGACATTGAGGCTGGGCTCTGAGGCTCTAGCGATGTGCTGTTGGCGACAGCTGCAGCAGTAGAAGTTGCTGCAGCAGCGTCAGCAGCTGGGGTGCCTTGCCGCGGGAGGGGCGCAAGCCAGAACATTCAATTATAAGATGAAGACATCCTTCTGAAACCTGCATAGCAAAACCCAAAAATGTCTGCCGGTGCCATGGCCGACACTGAGAAAAAGCTGCTGCCCATATTATCGTAATGATTCGTAATTGGTGCCGCTGCATCGCAGCGTGCCGATACTACGTGTTGCTTGGCAGAAAGATGGGCACCGTTTGTCATCTGTGCAGCTGGCTAAGCAAAGAGAATGCCAAGGCGGCAGCTGGCGGAAGCAGCGACCGCTGGAGAGGCAGAGGAGACAAGACGCCTGCCACGATTGGCAATACAGCGGATTACTCTCATCTGTTTTGTCAAGGCCTCTGCTGCACAATAATGACTGTCAAGAAACCTGCAATGTTGCTGCAGCATGTTAGATATGTAATTCCTATAGCCCCTATAGTTTCCATGTTATTTTCCATTAATCCCTATAACCCTTACAAATTCCATGTTATTTTCCATTATCCCCATGTAACCCAAGGAGGATTTTGAATTCCATCAGGCGCCAAAGGAGGGCCTGCCGTTCCTCTCCCAAGGCTTGGGGGGCGCAGCCTGGCAGTGCAGATGACAAGCCTGAAAACTAGCAGAGTAGGAGTTTAGGGTTCGGGGCCCCATAAGAGTCCATAGTACTGATGATAATAGAAATCCTGCATGACTTTACTATACTGTAGTAACTGTAGTACTTAATACAAAAGGTATAAGGTACTTATGGGTAAACTTAGGGCCATGCAGGTTTTTTAGCACCCACCGCAGGTTTAGGGGCTGGCAAAAGTCTAGTTTTTGGAACTTGTTGTCCAACAAGAATTGCAGCTTGCATCAGGTCCATGCTGCAAAAGAGCGCATGGACACGGACCAGCACACTGCTCCACTCTGCAATTATTATGCCTATCAACATAACATGGAAGCTGACCAGATGGCTAACCCTCTTTTTCTGTGGAATACAACATTCCGGATCTTTGATTCCATTCCAGGCCTGCATCAAGCTCCAAAGCGCGCAGCTGAGCCCACTAGACTGACATGGTCTGACCCGACTAGCTTGGCCCTGGCTTGGATACTAGCATCTGTCCTGCTCAGTTTCAGTGCACTTGAACAGAGAAACGACGGGGCATACTCTGGAAGCAGGTGTTGTAAATCAAGCTCTGCTAAATAAACGGAGTTTCCAGCACGTTGGAGCGTGTCTGCCCTGGTGACCATGGTGCAAAGCTGCCTGACTGGCTTCAACGTCTGACCCTGTGGGGCCCAAAGCTGCAGCGCAGCACACAAAAAGCCTTGCAATCGGAAACACGCAAGCTCTGCCAAACCCACAAAAAAAGGCGCACCAGGGTGGACCGGAGCTAGCAGCTTCTCTTATCAGGAGCCTCTCACATCAATAAGGCATCCTGGTCGAATTGGCAAAGGAGGGCCGTACCGAAAAGCGAGAAGCGCGGCCAAATGAGAATGCCGGACCTGTCCTGATCATGGGAGGCTAACATGTTTTTCTCCTTGCGTCTCCTGCATGAGACCTTCCACAATTTGCTCTCGGTCGCTTTAGTTGCCAAATTACGCAGCACTCATCCAAGTCTCTTAGTCAGTCACTAAATATGCGATTGAACAGGAATATTAGTCTGTGACACCATCTACTGCACCATGCCGTCACGTTAATCCTGCCTTCAAGACAACTACCGTGAACAGCAATCTCGGGTGTCCTCTTGCGAGAGTCCAGCTGTCTTCCTGAGATGGACTCCTCCAAGCAATGTGCCCGTTCAAAGCTTACCATCAGTTAGCCTGTTGCAAACTCGTGTTTGTGATGCTTGCTGAGTAGTGCTAGATCTGTTTTAGCTGCCAGAAGGTTCCATTTCTACAAAGGCTCCAATTTCACGTTTCAGCTCTGTTCGGCAAATGGTGCTCTTGCCGGAAACCTCCTACAGCACGCGTTATGTAGGAACACAAAGATAGTGATGAGTAAGCCAACACGGGCCATAGCAGTTGAGGGGCATGCTGAAGACAAGGCATTTGCACTGGCATGCTTCCTTGCATTCACAGGCAGAAGCATGTGTATCTTCGATTGCAAGGGAACTACATGTGCTCCTGGTCATGCTGGTAAGAAGACGGTGAGACTTGTTCCGATGCCCCTGACACACTGGCCAGGCCCTGGCGAGCACTTTGGGATCGCTGTAATTAGGGTCTCAGGAATCTTAGTGTTCCTTCAATTTGAAAGGGGCGAGGATAAAGGGGATCGTGACTTCCTATGAGCTTCCAGTTGCCATGCGTGTATGGCTGCTGATGAATGCATTAGCGAGGCAGATCCGACGAAAGCAAATACAAGTCAAGCCACTCCAGACTTTGCTCGAGGAAAGGCACGGCCGGCAGACTGTGGGCGTACTTTCCTCTCAACACAGCATCAAATCTTAGACACAAAAGGCGTTGCTGATAGGTCTCCGACTCCAGACTGCAACATACAAGCAAAGAAACAAAGAAACAAAGCAGCCAACAAAGGATGTAACATGATGTACGCTGGCAATGGCTCCTGTAGTCAGGGTCGTACACCAAGCCTGGCCCAGCAGCGTTGTACCTGGCCCGCTGTTGGGCGCTGCCCGGTGCTAGGTGCTGCGCGCTCCACTTAAGACTTGGCATGCTGTGCGCTGCTATGGCTCGCTGTTTTATCCTAGCTCAGGAAGAGTACGCTTGGCGCCTGGACTCAGGACAGGTGCGCAAGAGCTCAAAGTCATAGACCTGCGTTGCCAACGACACACCAGCTTCTTCAAGACTTTCTTAAATAAATACAGATGGCAAAACCTCATTCGCGGAGAAACCAGAAAACTTGCCTGTTTCCAAGGCTCCTGACCCCAAAAGAAACATGGGCAGACTGGCCTGTGCATCACGTGATTCTGTGCCAAATCCAATTCGAGGGCTGGGACCCGCAGCGGTCCTGAGGGAAAAAAATGTTGCGACCCTCTCTTCTGTCTGACCGTCGTGTACCCGGAGATTTGCTCTAAGCCCTAGCAGTGGCTTCATTACTTCGCAATTCGCATGTTTGGAGAGGTTTACTCTAGGAACCAGACATGGCATTGTCCACTGCCCATGCCTCCTTGACGCTTGTGTAGACATGTTTTTTCCGCGCAAGTCAGGCGCGTAGGGTGTATTGCCACGTTTCTGTGGGCTTGCTTCCTCACAGTGCTGCACAGCCAGCTCCAGGCCACGGCAACACTCGCACAAATGCAGGCACTCTGTTCTGGTCCAATGCCCTGTTCTTGAGCGGACCTCCTCTTGGAACAAAAGTGCAGCCATGTCGTAGTTGAGTATAAGGGTGTGTTCTGACTGAGGCAAGGACGATCCGGCCCAGGCTTCCATAACATGCAGGTGAGTGCTGGGATCCTCAGCTGGGCTTGTTGGAGGACGCTACTTTCACATTCCTCCGGGGACGGCCCGTACTTGCATGGAGTTTCTCTGGGGCGTGAAGTCGGAAACCCGATGTCGAAAAACTCAAAACTCATGGACGTGTCTTGGCTTGACCATTCTACAGGCACAGCTCAGCTCACTGCACTCTTGTCCTTTTTCATCGCTCGGCGCCTGAAACTCCCAAAAAGACGCTGGAACGAGTGGGAGGCCCGGATGAGATTTGCCCCTGTCATGCAGTGAGCTCCCGGCGTCTCGCTGCAGTGCGACCGCGCTGCGCCTGTTCCCATGCTCACTGCGGAGGAACCTCAGAAGCTCATGAGAAGCTGAAACCTCCACAGCACACAGCTACTGCACATCTCTTCTTGGCTGAGGCTGGGGCAAGCAAGCGCGTTAGCATAGGCCGTATGGTAGCTGCCGGGGCCCGGCGTACCCTGAGCAACAACATGCACAAACATCACCTTTATAAGTAAACTCCTGGTGTTGATTCTGGCCTCTTCGACCGGAGCATCCTGATGCCGTGCTTTTCCAAAGGAATACCTGCAAGCAAACAGCACGGCCTCATATACATTGTCGAGACCTCCACCGCGCCCCTTTTTCTCACTTCTTGCTCAAACACTGCGCCCGCCCCCGCATCTAGCTGGGGGGGGCGCATCTTTCAGCATTAAACGCGACGTTCAGTTGCAGCCGCACGGCAACGTGAATCGGCTATGTCAACTTCATATTTCAGTCGACGTGTGTCACTCGACGCGTGATTTTCCTGCCTGACAGAGATCCTCCCCACAGACCTGCAGACTTGATTCTTCTGGCCCGAAAGTCGAAAGAAGAGAGTCGTTGCACAAAGCAGGAGATCTTTGGCTGGTTCTTCCAGATCGGGCCAATGACAGCCATCTAGTATCTTGCTGCTGGTCCTCGTCCGTCGAAGCAGCCTGGAGGCCACCAATCGGATAGCACTCCGCAACCAGCTGCTGCGGGTGTGGAACACACTTGAAACATCTTGAAACCAAAGTGACGGCCAGTATTTCGTTCAAGGCACACTTAGAGGTAGAGCAGGAAGCCGGGAAACTTCTCTTTGGGCAGCTTGCCAGCAAGTCGAGACACATTCCCGAAGCTGCGACGTAGGATCTCCTTTAAACCCACTGAAATCTCAACTTGTCATTGCTCAAACACCCTGGGGGTCAAGCAGAATGAGTACTCTGCATAGAGGCTGCATTCTGCATTGCCCTTCTTGATATGCCACGTCCTGTGAAGCCATGGAGGAAGCGGCCACGTCGAAGAACCAGTCTCGCACCACCTCTATAGGCAGATCTGGCTCGAAGCCCCAAACGCGGCTGGATCGGTAGCACTCCTGAAGCCCAGGTAATGAACAGCATCAGACCCACTATGACTAAGGGATGCTGCAAGACCACGTGCAGGCTGAGAGGCAAATTCATCAACGTCAGTGGAAAGCCCCTGGCCAGCAACGATAAGATCTTCATGCACGAAGGCCGCGTATGGGCCAGAAAGCAGCTGGAGACGAAACCCACTTGTCTGCAGCAAGTCTTTCAGGTAGCTCAGCGAGCCTGAGGTGGGAGGCTTGAAGGATACATTGTCAAAGCGACATCTTACGGCCTGCAGCCTAGGCAAGCCTCAGGCACATCTCCCTGAGTTTGGACAAGTCTTTCAGAATTCTTCGTCTGCAAAGGAACAGCCGTGAAGTGAAGCAGGGAGTCCCTCTACGACGCCAGTATAGCGCAGCGGAGGCGGAAACTGGCTGTTGGTGAAGCTTAGAATCATCTTGGCGGAAAGACCGCCTAACAGCCTTGTGCAAATTTGGGAACTTAGCAAGGGCATACAGTTGCGCATGCTCAAAGGCTAGCTAGCAGCACACTTTCAAGTGCAAAACGCACCAGAAGATAGCAGTGCGGACAAAGCAGCAAGCCTTTCAGCAGCATGCAACCTGCTGGTAGCCCCTGATCCAAGCGCAAGACATCAACCTGGCCGAGCAAAGCACCCGGGCACCAGAGTCATGCCGTAGCGCATGTAATTAGGTTGCCGTTCCTGAGGTTAGATAGTGTCCTTGCGCCGTGTCAGTCATTGGCTCAATGCCACCTCGCAGAAACTGCATTACCAAACTCCCACCAGGTCCTGCCTGCGCCCAATCACCAAGCTGCATGGCAAGTTTTACCCCGCCCTCGATGGAGACCTCGATTGCCTCAGAGCTGCGAAAGGCGTCGAATTGATCTGAGGGATTTCGCTGCAGATCGCCAGGCTTTTGCGAACTGGAGGTTGATGCAACAACCTGTGAAGAAGACGTATCAAACCTCTTTTCCGACCCGATGCCTTTTGCTCCGGACACTGCAGCGTTCCGACATCGATTGCACTGATTGCACATGATTACACCCTGAATCTAACATAGGTCTTCGTCCGATACCAGGCAGAATATCAGTCTTAGGCGGGAAAACTGGAGCCCAACACATACCCTGACAGCTCTATGCCAATCAAGTGCAACATGGCGTCCGCCTCTGATGGTCCCTCAGACCAGGATTCTGCAGCTTCGGATGGTCGCGCACCCGCTAAGACCATTCCCCGCATGCCATGCTTGGCTACCTGAAGGACCAGCAGACAAGCGGGCTCCCAAACTTAGGCTACCAGCTACCATTCTGAAACATATCACATCTCACGGCTAGGCTTACCCCAAACGCAAATGATGCGTTTGGATCTCGGAGCACCCGACATTCCCAAACCCTATCCTAAGGTGGGAGGAACCTTTCCACGTTTGGGTCTACCTGGACTCATGCTGTGCCACGTTGCAAGTACGCGCGCAGGATCTTCAGCATTGGAGTCGCGCAAGTTGCCAATTTGTAGGAGCCTCTGACTTGACCGTGCGCCAGGAAGCAGGTCCCCAAAGAGGCTCGCGAAGGCATGTGACAGATGAGTGTCCTTCACTCTCAAGGTTGCATCGCTGGGGCCCTCAAAACATCTGAAGCAGCCTCAAGCAAGCTGCCAGCCTTCAATTCGATCTCAAAATCAAAGCCCTCTTCCCAGAATTTCTCCGTAACCTGGGGGATTCCTAGAATGATTAATTTCTGCCATGCCCATTTTCCACATATGAGCCATTGTCTTAACTCCGAGAATCCCCCTTAATAATCCCTATACTCCTCCCTATATTATCCCCTATATGGCCCCTTCGAAGGAGTTTAGACTATAGCTCATATCCTGTCCTCAGTCTCTCCCTGTTTTCCGGAACACCCTAAACCCTAAACCTAAACCCTAAAACCCTAAACCCTAAACCCTAGAACCCTAAACCTTAAAACCCTAAAACCCTGAACCCCAATCCCTGAAATCCTCAAACCCAAAACCTTAAAACCCAAAACCCCAAAAAGCCTAAACCCTCAAACCCAAAACCCTAAAACCCGAAACCTCAAAACCCAAAAACCCTTAAACCCTAAAACCTTTAAACCCTAAAACCCAAAACCTTAAAACCCTAAATCCCTAAAACCTTGAACCCTAAACCC